CATGGCAACTGGTCAATGCTATGCCAATAAACCTGCATGATTTGAATAATACAAATCATTAAAAACTTTCATAACATCACCTGTTGCTATGGCTAGCTTTGCCACAGACAGTATTATAATTATACATATACAAAAGTAATAAATAATTATAAGAATTGATGCATGGTATTCATATAAAACCGCCAATGCCAAGAAAGTAGAATAGAGTATTTAGATGTGATTCAACTTTGTGCAAGGTATTTGACATTCAAATTGCACTTTTCCTACCTCCTGAACAGGCATCTTAAGGGCTGTTTACATGTTGGAAGGTGCTACTCCGGTTTCCTCCCACAGGGAAAGTCAACAGGGCGGGTTAGGTAAAAGGGCCCACAGTAATTGGCATATGCTGTTGTGGTGACCCTGCCCTAGTTGGCAAAGTTAAATAAATAAATATGGTTGGGAGAGGGGAAGAGGAGGTGGGGGTGAGGGTGAACTTGAAATTCGGCCCTGTCCCTTGGAAGTGAGGCAGCACTTTTCTTGCGATAGTAACTTCTAGTTTTTTCCTGTGGTTTCGGCCGTTTTGTTTTGGCCATTGCGTTTTTGTGGTTTCGGCCGTTTCGTTTCGTTTCGGTGGGTTTTTTTTCGACGTTTTGCCTTTTAGTACATGCTCTACAGCTGGTGCATATTTTAATATAAAAAATTTTCGGCAAAAACTCAGACACTCAGGGAGAACAACTTTTTTCGACAACTTAAACAATTCTAGATCTTAATTAGCCTTTTTACTCACTTGGTCTATAGTATTGACAATAATTATGAACTAAAACAAGGTTTAAAATTCGACAATCGCCCATAAAGCGAACCACGTGCAAAGCAAAAGCACAAACTTTATGTCGAAATATCGCTTTAAATTCGGGCTCGTTGTCCTAAATTTCCATCTATGTCGGCAGTCTAAGTACTCTACTACAAGGATTGATATTAAATAAAGCATATTACCTTCCAATAGAGGTAGGATTGATATAAAAAAAATCCTCCATTTTTCTTCCTTGCATCTTCGCCACGCGCGGCAAAAAAAAATTAAAAAAAATTAAAATTCGGAAATGCCCGGCACTCCGTCCGGATCTCGCTCGGCACTGTACGATGCAAATCGGCAAATTCCGAGTTACTTGACAGGGGGGTTGGTTCACCGACTTCACCTCAAAATTCAAAAAGGCAAATATTGTATATTTACGAAAAACATTGCGACACGTTTTAGTCTTTCGTATAAAGAAGAAACCTTTTTAAATCGTTTCAAGGCTAAGGTATGTTTACGTTGCATTTTAAACTGCTTTAGAAAGCTTTAGCTTTTGTCAGGGATTATTTCCCGAGCTATTTGTGTAGCCGAATTCTGAGTATATAATTGCTTGTTTATACACAATAACACAAATTATATATCATATTTGCATGATAATTCTGCCGAAATATTCCGCTATTATAGAACAAGAGCGTGAAAAAAATATTGCTGCTTTATTTTGTCATTTTGTAAAAGATTGTTTACATAGCTAAGATATATAGTTTTTGAAAGCTGTCGTAATGACGTAATTCGATACTTTCCTGGCAAGTTAATTCCAAGAAAATGTGTGTCAAATAAAACGTCATTATAATCAGAAGGTCATGTTACAAATAATATGTGAGTAAATTGGCTGTATGATATTTTCCAAAGGAGGAATTTGTATTGGTCAAGCATCAGAGTGAGAAAATAGTGTTTATTTATATCCTTATCTGTAAGTGGTCACGTCCACATGTTGCCACAAATAACGTTGAATTGACATTATGAGTGGGTGGGTGGGTTTTTATATGAACTTATCAATGTTATCTCGTGGCAATTTGA